CCCCAAAACCCCAAAACCCCAAAACCCCAAAACCCCATTAGGATAATTCTAAATTGAAATCTAGAATATTGGGCAATACTTGTTGGGAGTCTCATTTGGTCCATCAATGGCGTTGTTTGCTACAATCTTCTTAATACGCCACTTTGGCATATTGCGGATACTGAGCTGGTAATAGTTTTCATAGATTTTGTTCTTGTTCATGTAGCATTCTGAGTTGTCTCTGATCATAGCGCCTGCTGTTGTGTTGGAATAAATTTCATTATTCTCAATTTTTGGAAAACTTGCTCCACTTACTATCACTCCAGTACGAAGATTATCTCTGATAATATTTTCATTGAGATTGCAGTGGGAATCGTACATTATTATCCCATCATTGTTGTCATAGATTTCATTTCTATAGAGCAAAGCAAATCCAGTTTCAAGGATGAATATTCCCTCACTTCTAGAAGAATATATTTTGTTCTTTATTATTACAGTATCTGAGGATTGCATCCCTCCAAAAGCAATATTGGCCTTGAAGTTGAGATGGATATTATTATGCTCTATGTGACCGCTCGTGCCTTCTACAAGCAAAATCCCTTGACAGAAATTGCTTTTGATGAGGTTGTCAAAAATACTGACGTGAGCTCCATCAATCGCCTTGATTCCTGCTCTTCTGTTATTAGAAATGGTAATATTCTTGAGAATTTTGGTTCGGTTCTCTAGAATATTAGCTATTTGACTAACCTTTACCAGAGCAAAGAATACCATTGTCTTTATTTTTGATTATTTCATTAAATTTAATCATCGCTTCACACCTGAGATCTCCTTTTGAAATAGTGATGATACCATTTTCAAAATTTTTGTAGATCTTATTCAGAACAATAAAAGGATCTGAACAGATAGCCTCAATGCCAGCCTGGCATTTAGTGATATCACATCCTTTCACCTTAGCCCTATTCGCTTTGTAGATCTTGATTGCTGGACCTTCAATGCTCTCAATTTTGAGTCTGAGGAGTAGAGGTTTACAATCTTCTCCTTGGGAGTAGAGACCTACAACACCTCATTGACTGATCTTGGAATCTGCAACCTTTATATTTGAATCACAATTTCCACTGACAAAGACCCCTCCAGCTTTGAAGTTGTGAAACTTTCAATCAGAAATGAGGACGTCTGAGTTGAGAGAGATAAATCCAGCAGTCATGATATTTTCATTTCCTCTGAAGTCTGTTGATACCAAGTTTGCTCTTGTGCCAGGCATTGCTATGAGTGCTGGGATATATGATTTAATGTTATCAGGTAGGGATTTAAGGGTTACTAATGAGTTTCTAATGATTGCATTACCACCAAGCACTCAGACAGCTCAATCCATTTCTTTGCTAATTTCAAATCTAGTTAAGAAGGTTGGGTTTGCATTATCAAGGTCATTCTCCTTAATCTGCTCATTAAATTTATTAGCAATATTAGACCCAAAATGTGCTATAATTATCCCTTTGATAATACAAGTTTCATGAGATCTAAGATCAACTGTAATGCTTGGTCCTTCCTCTCCAAGTAAGTAGACAACCTTGTCTTTAGATCTTGGTTCAATCCTAATATTATTCTTAGTAATCCTGATGCTTTCTCTATACCTCCCTTCATCGATCTTAATAATAGTGCCAGGTTGGGCTCTTTCTAGAGCCTCAGTGATAGTTTTAAAGTCACATTCCTCGCTTTCTCCCACATAATATTTAACCTCAGGCTTGGCTGTCATTGTAGGCTTGTTCAGGAGGAGGCCTTTCGACCCATTGGCATCGAAGTCATTCTCACTGCTGTTCTCTACACTGTAAGACCTCTGTGACCTCATTGTTTGACCTTTATGACCAAGCTTAGGGCTATTAACGTTGCTTCTCGTTCGATTGACATTGTCTCTTTTGGAATTCATCTTTTTATTTATTTTTAAAAATTTCTTGGGGTTTTGGGGTTTTGGGGTTTTGGGGTTTTGGGGTTTTGGGG